CCTGAAAGAGATCCCCAAAGGAAAACTCCTAGGAATATTGTAGCCAAATTCCAGAGTTCCCAGGTCAAGGAGAAAATATTACAAGCTGCCAGAAGGAAACAATTCAAGTACTGTGGAAACACAATCAGGATAACACAAGATTTAGCAGCTTCTACATTAAAGGACCAGGGCATGGAATATAATATTCCGGAGGGCAAAGGAGATAGGATTACAACCAAGAATCACCTACCCAGCAAAACTGAGTATAATCCTTCAGGGGAAAAAATGGTCATTCAGTGAAATAGAGGACTTTCAAGCATTCCTGATGAAAAGACCAGAGCTAAACAGAAAATTTGACTTTCAAATACAGGACTCCAGTGGAACATGAAGAGGTAAACAGGAAAGAGAAATCATAAGAGACTTATTAAGATTGAACTGTTTACATTCCTGCATGGAAAGATGATATTTGTAACTCATGAGAACTTTGTCAGTATTAGGGTAGTTGAAGGAAAAAAATTGTATGTATGTATATATTAGAGATAGAGGGCACAGGGTGAGTTGAAGATTAAGGGGTCATATCTGGAGAATAAAATTAAGGGATGAGAGAGGATGATACTCAGAGAAGAAAGGGAGAGGTAGAATGGGGTAAATTATCTCACAAAAAAAACAGAAAAGTCTCTCACAGTGGAGGGGAAACAGGGGAAGGTGAGAGGGAATGAGGAATCTTATTCTCATAGGATTTGGCTTAAGGAGAAAACATACACATTCAATTGGGGGAAATCTGTCTTACCCTACAGGAAAATAGGGGGAGAAGGGGACAAGAGAGCAGGGGGTGATAGAGAGGAGGGCAGATTGGGAAAGAGGGTAATCAGAAGCAAATACTTCTGAGGAGGGACAGGGTCAAAAGAAAGAATAGAATAAATGGGAGGGCAGGATAGGATTAAGGGAAATAGAGTTAGTTTTATGCAACGTGTCTACTGAGGAAGTGTTTTGCATAACTGCACATATGCAACCTATATTGAGTTGCTTGCTTTTTCAATGAGGGTGGGTGGGGAGGGAGGAAGGGAGAAAATTTGGAACTCAAAGTTTTAAAAACACATGTTTTAAAAAAATGTTTTCACATGCAACTGGGAAATAAGAAATACAGGGAATGGGGTACAGAAGTCTATCCTGCTCTACAGGAAAATAGAAGGGGAAGGGGATAAGAGAAGGGAGGAGGGAGAGATAGAAGAGAAGGCAGACCAGGGGAAGGGGTATTCAGAATGCATGCCATATTGGGGTGGGGGGAGGGGTGAGAAATTTGGAACTCAAAAACTTGTGGAAGTGAATATTGAAAACTAAAAATAAATAAATTTATATTTAAAAAAATAGAAAAAGAAAGTTCCTCATGCTCTAATCTGGGGAGACAACAAACAAAAGAAAATTCAGCGGCAAGGAAGATGAAAAGGCCCTCATGTGCTAATGGTGTAATGATGGGCACATGTGGAGGTCCAAAGGTCCTTAGATTATACAAGTATATACATGAGAGTGTCAGAGGATTGCAGAATGTAGAGGGAGGGTAGCTGGTAATGCTTGATGTTTCTCCAATCCTCAAAGGGAATACACTTCTTGTTTCACATCTTTTCCAAGCCCTGTGAGCAGACAAACAGCCCAAGGAAGGGAAAGAGGGAAGAGGGAAAGGGAGTAAGGTGTCTTAGTGGTGGTGGGTCTTCCCACCTGCCAGGATGAATTCTGAGATAGCCTTGGAGCTGGTAAGAGGAGAGGACGATCAGATGAAAAAAACCTTTAGGGAGAACTCACACTCTGAGGAAGTAAGTAGAGCTGATCATCTGAGAGAAAGTGAGATAGAAGTAGAATTCATCTTCTTACCTCAATTTTCATAGAAATGAAAGGGAAGCTTAGAGCCCTTAAGCAATGTACCCAAGACCACATAGCAAGCTAAAAGGCCAAGACTTGAACTCCTGACTCTTGCCAAGGGCATACTCATTCACTGGGTTTGGAGGCCTCATCTCAGTTCTGAAGGGAAGCTGAAATCTAGGGACAGGATCAGAAACTTAGTAGGAGGATCAAGACGGGGGCCATGGAATAACCTCTGAAACAGAAGAGGAGGCAGATAGTCTGTCTTTGGCTTTAGGTGAGAGTAATCTGGATGTCTTGCAGGTGGGTGAGGATTGGGCTGAAGTCTGGGGGAATGCTTTTCTCAAGTCAAGGAATTCCCATCCAGAGGAAAGGAGGAAGCGGGTTTTCACAGAGGCTGATGGCCAAGGAGCCTGAGAGTTTGATCTCATACCAGCCCAGAGGAGCTTTTCGAAGACAAGTTAAAAAAAAAGTTGCAGAAATAAACTGAGAGAAGTTGTTACCTCCATGATACTCTTTGTAGCTCCCATCTGGCTCTAACATCTGCCTTGGATGCTCATTTTTGGAGAATTTGCCTCGTTGAGGCTCTCCTCCTCTCTGTTAGAGTGTAACCTTTTTGAAGGTAGGGATGACACCATATTTACATTCCCACAGCACCTAGGAAAGTGCCTTCTATGTAGTCATAGGAACATAGAGACAGTCCAGAGAAAGGAAGAAAGGAAATGAGCATTTATGAAGCTCCTACTGTGTGTCAGACACCGTGCTAAGCACTTTACAAATATCTTATTTGATCTTCACAACAACCCTGGGAATTAGGTGCTATTATTATCCTCATCTTACAGTCTATGAAACTGAAGCAGACAGAAGTTAAATGACTTGCCGGGGATCACACAGCTAGCAAGTGACTGAGACTGGATTTGAACTCAAGGTCTACTGAACCCCAGCCCAATGCTCTGTCTGCTGTGCCACCCAACTGCCTTTAAGAAACCTCAAAGGGCATCTAGACCAACCTTCCACTCCAATCCAAAATCCTTTCTAAAATATTCTATTGGTTAGTCAGGTGCTGTTTCCAAGAAGCTACCTCAGGAAGCAGTCCAAATTACCCACCTAATTATGTCCAATTATGATAGCTCCAAATATTCTACATTGAATCCTGGGCAGGAAGTAGTTGAGGAAGACCTGTGCTGTACTTAAAATTTATTTATACCATGCTCTTTGTTTCCTGTCTATATCACATATATAGATGCATCCTGGTACAATGGAAAGAGCACTGGCTCTAGAGTTAAAGGGTCTGAGTTCAAATCCTACTTTTGATACTTTCTACCTACATGATTTCCCCCACTCCATAACATAGTAAAATAATAAAAAAAAATGATTGCACATGAAACTGCAAATCTGTTATGTACAACTTGCTCTTCCTTTTAAATATATAATAAAGTTACGTAAATTTCTTTTTTTCTCTTTTTTCTTCCCTCCCCTCTCCCTAGAGAAGGCTATCATTAGACACAAATATGTGTATGTGTGTGTCTGTATGCACCCATATACATATATGTAATATATACACTCACACACACACATATATGTAAAATCATTCTATACGTTCTTCTTCTCTGGATGCAGATAGGATCTTCCTTCATATGTCCTTTGTATTTAATTTCTATATTTATGATAGTCAAAATGACTTATTTGCTCTAAGTCGTTCTTAAAACAATATTGTGGTTACTGTATACAATGTTCTATTGGGTTCTGCTCATTTTGCTCTTCCTTATTTTATGCAAGTCTATCCATATTTTTTTAAGATCACTGAGCCGATCATTTCTTATAGCACAGTAGTATTCCATCACAATCATATACTGTAACTTGTTCAGCCATTCCCCGGTTGATGGGTATCCCTGGAATTCCCACTTCTTTGCCACACAAAGAGAGCTGCTATAAACATTTTAGAACACAGATGTTCTTTAAAGTCAGTGAAGCACTTTTTCACAACAACTCTTTGAGGCATATGGTATAATATCATTATCCCCATTTAACAAATGAGGAGTATCAGTATCTTCAGGGAACTTCTATTTCAACTGTAGGTTGGCAAATAACAGCAAAGCACTGAAGATGAAGCATGTCTCCTGCTAAGGAGGAGATGGACTTTAAAATACAGAATTTTGGACGTGTTTTTGTCCAGGGACATTGTGAGAATTTGTTTTGCTGGATTATGCATATTTGTCACGGGGATTTTATTTAATTTTTCCCCCATTGCTCAACTAGAGAGAGGAAGTGAAAGGGCGAAATAATAAATTCACATAAAATAAATAAAAAAAATAAAAACATTTGAGGAAAAAAGAAATATACTGGCAAAACTGGATCTATAGTATTATAATCAGTAAAAAATTACAATTTATATTGTAATATAATATATTACATATGTATTATAATTATATTTAATGCAACACTATATATTACATAAACATATATTTTGTATATATTACATGATAATATTAATATGATATAATACATTATATGTGCTATATTCATATAAATATATGATACATTTTTATAATGCTACAAGTTATAAAATATCAGTAATGTTTTATTAATATAGACATTTAAAGGCATTTTACCACCTGGTAGTAGCTAGTTATTTGTTTTTTCTTGAATTAGATTACTTCACAGAATTGTATGTTGAAAATAAAGAGATTTAAAATCTTTAGAAAATATACAGATGACAAAACCATACTCTGCTATTAAAGTAAACCGAAATGTTTTGGATTATGTTCCTAATTCCTAATTTATAAAACTGATGCCAACTCATGCCTTTTCATAACAAATGCATCATTTAGTGTTTCAGGTGGTGACAGAAAACAAGGGTCTTCTTTACCTCTTTAACTAAATAAAGCCTCGTTCCTACCTCAGCTGAAGACGTCCTGCCCTCTAGTGGCTACTCCTAACCTAGCACTGTTTTTCAAACATCTTGTGAGGAGGGAGAAGAATGAATGCAGATAGACCCCTAGTAGAGAACAGGCATACATTTCTCCCACTTCCACTTTCCCGTTAGGGTTCACATCCTTTCTTTCGTATCAGCAGAAACCTTTGCTTTCCCCCTTCTGTCCATACAATAGAGACAAGCAAGTATAAGACACCCGAGGATTCTGAATCCTCTGCTAACTTGTTACCTTTATTGCAAATTGCTCTCTGTCGGCTCCTCAGGATGAAGCGCAACACGTTTGCGAAAGCAGCACTACAAGACAAAAAGAAGACACATTTAAAGAAAATGCAATAAAGATGAATATTTCCGTCACAGCTTATTAACATTTATATAATACTTTAAGATTTGCAAAGTGTTTTACAAATATTATCTCATTTGATCCTCACACTATCCTTGGGAGGGGGGTGGTGGTAGGGTGGGAAAACGGGGGTAGACAGAGATTAAATGACTTGCCCAAGGCCATACAGCTAGTAAGAAATATCTGAGGTCACATTTGAACTCTGGTCTTTCTGACTCCAGGTCTAAAATTTCATCCATTGTGCCACCTCGCTGCCTCATGAAAATGTCTGCTCACACTGAAGAATAATGAAAATACTGAAGAAATAAGCTCTACCAGCTCCACACGTCAGCTCTGAAAACGAATGGGTTACGTCAGTTTTTGTGATGGTGTAACTTTTATTTTTAGAAGAAATTAAAGTCAAATCACGTCAAAAATTCAAATTAAGTCAACAAACATTTGTTAAATGCTTCTTATGTTCCAGGTACTACACTAAACGTTGGAATACAAAGAAAGGCAAAAAATAGACCTGTCCCTCAAGGACCTCAAAATTTAATGGGGGAAACAATATGCAAACAACTTTGCAAAGAGCATCAATGTTATCATTTTTAGGCATCTTCCTTCTCTTTAGCCCAGAGACGCAGCATGGTATATGTGGTAATTAATATGCCAGATCTTTATTTACTATGTGAGCTTGAGAAGTAATTTGGCCTCTGGACTTCTGTATCCTCATCTGTAAAATGAAGACACTTGTGCAACATTTAGTTAATTAATCAAAAATCGATTTTGATTAGGTTCTGACTTGCATTGATGGAGGGTGTCTCTTTGCTTGGCAGTTCCATAAACACCAATGAAGTCACAAGACCAGTCTCTGTCGCTGCTATGCACTAGACTGTGTGCCAAGTGCTGGGAATACAAAATAGCAAAACTATCCCTGCCTTCAAGGAGCTTATGTACCTATATACTTTGTAGATATTAGAGTCTTACCATATCTATGCCTGTGCAACATTATTCTTGATGGCTAATTGTCCAGTTAGGCATTTTAGTTTGGCAGGTAGACAGCCAGCCCAGGAGATAGTAAAACCTGGCTTCCAGTCCCATCTTGGACTCTTATTGGTTATTTGTTTTGTTTTGTTTTATTTTATTTTATTTTATTTTATTTTATTTTATTTTATTTTATTTTATTTTATTTTATTTTATTTTATTTTTCTTATTTAATCTTTGGGAACTCACAACCACTCAGTGTATCCCAGGCAACTCTCTAATGTCAGTCAATAAATTGTACAGCAAGTACAGACGTGAACTGGTAGAATCATCCCCCACACTGGGAGTTCCCTACACCAGTGAAATCAGAGATATGAACTTCGCGCCCCAATTGCCTACGAAGACAAATTAAACACAACCACCAGGGATATGGACACATTGCCTCTTCCCATTCTTTTTCTAATAGTATATTTATGCCATCCTAACCTCCACTCTCCCAGAACCTGGGAGAGCAAAATGTTCTCTTGTGGCCTGGAGCCATCCTGCCCAACTGCCACAGGCGGAATCATGCCCCTCTCTGCCCCATTTCCCCCCATTTCAGCACCCTAGGACAAAACCTGGTTACCATGTGCTACTGATGACCACTGATCCTGAACTGGTTTATAAATTTACAGTGCTTCCTCTATACTCAGACTGCAGGATATTGGTGAAGAGCCCAATAAGCTTCACCTGAGGGGGAACTACAAATAAGTGACAAATGAGTAGGGAGTTGGAATCTATATTTCTTTCTTTATTCAGTTTTTTAGATAGGAACTGATTAATTCATGTGTAAATGGATACTTGCTTCTTTTTTCAAAACAGATTCTTGCTTACATTCTAGGTAGTAATAAGCTAGGGGAGTGGAAGTGATACCTTTCACATTGGCTTCATGGAGAGGGAGAGGGAAAATGGTCACATGGTAGGTTATGTCAAGTTGCGTTCTCCCATTCTGCATGGACAATGAGTAACTAGAAAAGATCGGAGGTCATTGACAGCAAGAGGACAGTCTAGCCTGAGAAAAGCTTTTGTCTTCTCCTGCATCCACTAAGGTCCCAAGTTCTCTTCCTGTTCCATGAATCCCTGATCCAATTTCTGCATTGGGCATCTGAGGTTTGGGCTCGTTGGAAGGATGAGTCAATTATTCTGTGAAAACTGTATCGTTCATACTCTTTTATACAGTCAAAGGAGGACTCAAATGGTTCATCTTGATCCTCCGACTTTTTTTCTTAAAATTTTATCTTAATTCATTTCTTTTGTTTTTATATCCCAGTAATTTATTTAAAAAAAATTAAAAATCATTATTATTTATTTTCTATTTCTCACTTCCCACCCCCACCCCTCATTAAAAAAAAAAGAAACAAAAGAAGGAAAGGAAGCCCATAGCATAACCAATATGCTATGACCAGAAATTCTGGATCTTGAGTTGGAAACTTACAGAACTGAGGAGAACAGCAGTTTAAAAACACAGTCGATGTTGTTTATTTGCTAAACAGTCCTGTGCTGGGTAAAGACAACTATATGAGGTATCTAAGCATATTTGTCTGCTTCTATGGAGATTCACTGGATTTTACTGGAGAAGGAAATGGCAAACCGCTCCAGTATCTTTGCCAAAAAAACCTCCATGGGCAGCATTGGCATGCTATGGTTCATGAGGTCATGAAGAATTGGACACAACTGAATGACTGAACAACAATAACGAATGGAAATTTAACATCATTATGCAAAGATCACGTATCTATGCACCAATGAACCAAGATAGAAAGAAGAAAGAGTTCTCCAATGAGCATGGACATCAGTGCTTGCTTCTGATTGGCTAATTCCACAAGTCCCTACAACTCCTTCACTAAGAATTGGTACTACCTTGCACAGAGAGGTAGAATTAAGTGAAAGAAGGTCATTTGCTTTGAAAACAAGAGCTTGGCATTCACTCAGCATTTCCACCCTCAAGAGACGCGTAAACTATCAGGGTTAGTGTGGGACCTTGTACCCAGAATAGTTTTCTGGACAGGATCCTCTAAGTGCCATCTGGTGGTTAGATACATTCCCCTTAGCTCCAGGAAACAATAGAGTAGTGGACTCAGAAATTTTAAGATGTTTCAGTGAGATAAACTGTAGGCATCTTAACAAATTCCATATAGATAGTTATAGAAGACAGCTGAAAAATGAGGCACTTGGCATGATAGATTCCCATTGGTGAGTCTTCCCAGAGCCTCCATTTAAAAAAAGGGCTATGCTACATTCTCTACACTTTGCCCCCAAGTGGCAGATGCCTTGTCCCTCTGCCCCTTCAGCCCCCTACTTCTGTTGTTGAGTTGTTCTCAGATCCTTTATTTTGAAAAGGATCCAGACGAGCCATTCTTCACTCTCTGGATTTTCCTACCATATCTCTCCATGAGTATCTTCCTTCCTCCACACCCTCCCCTTCTCTTCAGCTTCTTTTATGTGCTGTGTCTTTCTCCATTAGAATATAAGTTCCTTACGGGTAGGTGTTATTTTGCTCTAGTGACCCCTTCCCCTCTTGGATGTGCTGTTGGGGAAACTGATTGGTCATACTCCAGGGAAGAAGATTCAAGCTATATGTGGGCACAAAGACCCCTCAGATCACTAAGTTTCCTGTTACTTTGCCCTTGAATGGACTCCTAAGCAATGATGTAGTGGTAAATATTTAACAACTGGCTCTGGGATGGGTGAGTGGGAATGTATTCATAATACATTTTAAAACTTAATCTGTACTATTAATATTTTCTCCATCACTTTCTTTAGATTAGAAACCATCAAAATAATAAAATAAAAATCAATCAATCAATCAAGCCCTGAAATGTAACATTTGCCAACTTCTGAAGTACAAAAGCTCAACCTGAAAATTTAATAATCACCTCTTGAGAACATGTTTGAGCTGGCTTCAGCACATCCCTATTTCTAAGGCATCACTCCATTCTCTCCATGCTGCTGATGGGGTAGGCTGCCCCTGCTGGCAGTTTGCTGTTGTCTATTTCCTGCTTGAAAATGGTTATTGCTGCTGCTAAAGCCCAAGCTGAGTATGGCAAAGGATAAGTTAGAACAGATCCTGGAGAGCTGCATTGGTGGAATGGAGATGAGACCCAGGGGTAGTGGTGGTAAGGGAGAGACAGATCCTAACACCCTGTTACTTCCCCTCTTTCTTCTGTTGTCAGAGCTAATCTATAGGTTTGATGTGGGAGTAGGGGTGGGGGGGGCATGGAGGTGATATGATTGGGGGGAAGTAATTGGTTCACATTTTTGCTATGTGACAATTCCTATACAAGTTTCCAGTATACTGTATCTTAATAAACCATGTAATCACTGAAAACTCAAACATTTAAATCATATAAATGAGGTTGGTTAATTGATAGCAGATTCCCCAAATGTAGGGTGAGTGAAAACAGAACAAATTGAGATTCCCCATAATTCTATATTTGAATGATATTCCATTTCTTACTCTTTAGGCTGTTTCCAAACTGACCAGTGAGAGCAATTAAAGTTGCTCAGCCTTGCTCATAGTAGGAGGACGGGGAGTCTAAGAGTTTGTAGATGAGTATTCTTGTTGAACAGTAGAGATACTGTGAGAAAGCACACACATGTGCACTGGATAATCTTTGAGAAAATCACTTTGTGGGTGGCTTGAAAATAGTGCCACCTGGTGGACAAAGTTCACATTTACCAAATGAACGAATACTTCTGTTTCCTTTTCTGTAGACTTGCTGAAGAGAGAATACCAGTCAGACTAGGGAGCTATTGCAACTTTAGTACCTGGGACAGTCACTAAATGTATACGTAACCTGCTCAGCAGTCCTGGTTAAATTTTTCTATTTATTTTTCGCAGCAAAATTTGGTACAGAAGCTGTAGTTGTTTTCAGGGTGGTGCCTCCAGCACAATTAGGAGTTTTATATCTAATATTAGCATAACAGGTTTTTGGAGCATGCCCAGATCATCTGACATGGAGGCAGTTACATACCTGCTTCTGGAATACATTCTGCATTCTCCTACAATGTGGGTGGAAGTAGCTTCTTTCTATTGACTGCACAGCTGCATTTTTAAAATGATGATATTGGCAGAGTAGCTCTCTTTGTCCTTTGAAATCAGAAAGGGTAAAGACCCAATTCAACTACAATACAAGTAGGCTCCATGTACTGACCTGGTTGCAAAGAGAAGGGCTGCCTTCCTTCCTCTCCTTTTCAGGCTCTGAGAAACAGACTTAGAGGTTTTTCTTTCCCTCCTGCTTTGTTTGTCATTTTCAGTTTTAGGCACAGGTAGGGGAATCCCTGGAACCAGGATCAAGACATGGTGACCTTGGAGGCCAGGTTCTAGGCAGATGTTGTTGCAGGCCGTTAAGTAAGCCCGGAGAAGCCAGAGTACCTGGGACTTGAGCCCAAGGAGGTTTTGGACTTAGAATTTAGTGGGACTGCTATATAGGAACTGAACTAAGCTGAGGACCCCTTCCCAGAGACTGAAGTGATATAGGGGGAAATTATTCATTCCCCCCACCCTGCCTTATATTGGGAAGGATATTCACATGTTTCTTCTTGCTATAACTTTAAATAAATATTCTTTTGTAGAAGCTAATCTGTTAAGTGGTTAAATGAAACTGGGTGCAGGGGGCCCCTATAATTCGGAGAACACCCTCAGTTGGGGCTGCAGCCAATGGCAGAAAGAATGGACTCCCCCAATCTCTTTTAAGCATGTTGGAGAACCGTGTGGAAGGGATAAAATGTAACCTACTTTGCCTTCAGGTAGGGGGGACCAAGGTAGTCATTGTTACATTAGTCTTAAGGGAGCTGAGGCCCCTATTCAGTACTTTGAGACCCTTTGATAAGACCAGATAGGCAGCTGGCCTATGCAAAATTATGACACCAGATCTCCCTCTGCCTCTTCCTTGGTCCTTCCTCCGCTTTAGAATCTCTGGCACAGCCCTGGTCAGATGTCTCGTACTGGCCTGCTACTGCAAACCCACAAACCTCACTGCCCCCAGTTTCCCCTTCTTGAGACTTCCTTCCTCCTACTCTCTGATATTATGACATCACTGGACTGCTGCTGATTACACCAGGGCCTCAAAGGAAGGCTGGGAACAATCATTTCCATCCAGAAGAAAGATTGCATGTACAAAATTATAATTTTGGTGACGTTCATTGTAGTACGAGCATGCCATCTCTTTTAAGACTTCCCCAGCTTGAAATCTCTGCATTGTTCATGGCTTCCTCCTCTGTCAGAGCTCTTTAGAATTTGTTCCTTCTGAAAAATTCTGGGTCTTGACCTGGTCTGTCTGGTTTATACTCTCACTTTCATTTTCATTGCAGGCTTTCTTTCTTCCTCCCTCCCTCTCTCCTTTCCTTCCTTCCTTCCTTCCTTCCTTCCTTCCTTCCTTCCTTCCTTCCTTCCTTCCTTCCTTCCTTCCTTCCTTCCCCTCAGGTCTACCAATTACCATAATTATTGTTATACGTGGGCCTCCTTCAGGTTATCTGACAGCACTTCAATCTCCTTTTTCTATGCCTGAAGCCCAGATAGTGTGAGTTGTCAGGCCACTTGATGTCTTGCAAACCGCACAGCATGGTTCCTAGAGACCTCAGCATCACAACAATTGGCACAAAACTCTAAGGAGAATTTGCAGCATTTGTAATCCTGTGGTCAGTAAACATGTTCAGTACCTTAGCTTATTGGCAGCATGTAGTGACTCTCCTAGATTATTTCACCAGTCAGACAGAGGATCTCAGCTCCTGACATTACAAAATGTTCACGCACCTCCAGTCCTGGCGACTCCTCAGACCTCAGCCACGTATTGTAATCCATCTACTGGAGCAGGCTGCTTGCTCTAAAATACTGACGGAGGATAAACATCTCTTAGTGTTGGAAGTCTTCCTTCAGGAGCTCAAGAGAAAGTTTTCAGTCTTTTTAGAGACTGTCATTAATTCTCTGGCACTGGTAGGAGCAAGGCACCGTGCAAAGTTCTGCCAAAGTTTTAGGCACTGGATGAGGTCTCATCAGGAAATACTACACTTTCTGCACAAAAAGACATTTTCTGTGTCTCTGAGATTCCTTCCAGCTGTAGATCTATCAATCTATGATATTCCCAGCTCTTTCTAGGAATAGCCAAGTTCTTCCAATGGATTTCTCAATATAAAAGGCATAACCCCACCTGCAAGCACAGTTAGCAATGTTGTCATCAGTAGCAAGAGGAGTGAATATACAATAATCATAGAGTCATATATCGGAGGTGACTAGGTGGTTCAAGGGATAGAGCACTGGGCCTGAAGTCAGAAAGAGCTGAGTTCAAATGCAGCCTCAGATGCTCACTAGCTGTGTGGCCAGGAGCAGGTCACTCAACCTCTATTTGTCTTCATCTACTGGAGAAGGAAATGGCAAACCATTCCAATATCTTTTCTAAGAAAGACCCATGGACAATGTGGTCTGTGGGGTCATAAAGAGTTAGACAGGACTGAATGAGTAAACAACAAATCCAAGCCCCTGATACATATAGAATAAGTAGCAAAATCTGGATTTGAATCCAGGCCCTCTAACTCCAAGTCCAGTGCTTATTCCATTGTGTTATTCTGCCTCATCATAACTATAGGATCATAGGATCATGGATTAGGAGGTGGAACAGACCTGAGAATTCCAGAGATCTAGTCTGTCTCGTTTTACAGATCTGGAAATTAAGGCATGTTGTCTAAGGTCACACAGGCAAGAAGTGAAAAAATCAGGATCAAACCCCAGGTAATGATGCTTTCATTATTGAAAATGCATTCTTTCTATAGAACTAACCTGCTTCATTGATCCTATTTAGATCTTTCCAATAAGAATTTCCTGTATTGTTTAATTTTCTGTGTTGTTCCATTAAAGTACCCTGTACTTATAGGATGACCTTTTGACCTACCCCTTTTGCCAAGAAGCTGACAACATAAAATGCTTTCCCCCTGGAGTCATTCAGACTTACCCATTTCTTTAGGTTATCTTTCTGCCAGGAGAAGAAAAGTGTAGAAAGCCCTTTTCCTCCAGTGCTCTCCAGAGGTGGAAGATAAGCCCAACTGCAGTGCTTCAAGGCTAAAGAAAGTGAAATCTTTGATTGAGGGTGGGTGGCTCGAGAAATGTCAGGCTGATGTTTAACTGTTTTCTCTAAAACAGAAGCATGCTGAGTGAAAAGTTTCAAAATAACAGGACTTAAAATGATTCAATTTCCTCTTCCTTATACTGTATAACATTGATGGTGTCCTCTCTCTCTTTCTCTTTCTCTCTCTCTCTCTCAGTCTGTCTGTTTGTCTCTGTCTCTTTGTCTGTCTCTGTTTCTCTTTCTATCTCTCTGTCTCTGTCTCTCTCCCTTTCCCTCTCTCTGCCTATCTGTCACTCCTGTAAGTAGTCACTGGTACCACAAGGTTCTATTTCTTAGGTAGTCATTTAGTCACTGAGAAAATGTAGGGTCAGGAAAGACCAATAGATACTCTTCGGGGAAAAGTTCCTCTTTCTGTGTCTAGATTGTGGGCGTGCCTACGTGTACATTTGGTTTTGTGCTTGAGGAAATTCTTATTATCGTTTGGTGTTAATGACATCAAAAAAGTCTTGAAGGAAATGACTTGCTTTTAATGATAAGCAGGATTATATTTCCTCCAAGGATCTCTTTTCGTGGAAAAGGAAATAGTATTATTTATGTTTCTTACAGATAAGAAAGAGGCAGCAGTGGTCTAGAGAAAAGTAGACGCAGAGGACTTGGGTTTAAATTCCCTCTCTGGTCCTTATTGGCAATCTGATTTTGGCCAAGTCACTTCATTTCTCTAGGCTTCAGTTTCCTCATCTGTCAAACGGAGGTAATAACATCTCTATTTTCTGCCTCACAGGAGGCAGAAGGATCAAATAAAATTTATATATGTGAATTGCAAGTTAAATGCCAGATCTTGTTATAATCAGTACCAGTGGAAAACAATGAGCAAACTAAGGAATGATTATTCTGTTTATCCTTCCATTTCAATGATTAATTATTTAAAGTCTGGTCTTTATGTCTCCCTTATGCCTCTTGGAGGTGTTGCCTTATGAATGTGTTGGCTGACTTGATTCTTTTTATTTTTTGATAATTATTTATTTTTTATTTATGACATGAAACAAGCATTTCCATAACGTAGTAAAATAAAAGGTTATTTTTCTTTGAATTCAGATTGTGGTTTTATTTGGTTTTTCTCCCTCAGCTTGTAATTTCATTAGTGTAGGAAACTCTTTGTATGGAAATTCTCTCCACCAATATTAGCCCTCGGTAACTTATTGTCTTAGAGAGTTGTGTAGGGGCACTCAGAGTTTAAATGACTACCCCATAAGCACACTGCTACTATGTGTCAGAAGTAAGCCTTTAGGTCATTCTGATTCTTGGGTCATTCCTCTATCTTCCCATTAGGCTGTAACATTTTAAATTTACCCCCATTGAATTTTATCTTATTCAAATTGGACCAGAATTTCAATCTGTCCAAACCTTATGAAATACTGACTCAGTGATTCAGCATTTTAGCTATTCCTCTTGCCTCTGTTCATGTAAATTAGAAAGCATGTTTTTTAAGCCTTTATTCAAGTCACTGATAGAACATATGAAAAAAGCACAGTGCCTTTCATAAACTCCTGGGATGCTTCACTGAAAACCTCCTTCCAAATGGACATTTCATATTAGAGATTATTTTTTGGGTCATTTAATAGGTTCCAAATCTAACTAATTTTATAGTATTACTGTCTAGTTCACATCTTTTCTACAAGATCAGTGACAGTAACTTTATGAAACATTTTAGTAAATTTAGGTAAACTATAGCCACAAAATCTCTCTGTTCTACCATTTTGATAATCCTGTTAAAAAAATGTTAGGATAGTATGATCTGTATTTGATAAAGCAACACTATACCTCTGTAATCCCCAATTCCTTTTCTATATTTCCATAACCATTCCTTTAAGGAAATGTTCTAAAATTTTACTAGGAACTGAAATAAAAGCCATTGGCCTATAGCTTGTAGGTGCAATTCTTTTGTATTTTATGAAAATCTAGATATTTGTTCTCCAGTCCTATACTACCTTTCTTATCAAGGATCACTGATAGCAGTTCAGTAAGTACAACTAGTTTGAGTGTATAAGACGTAGAGTTAGCGTTAGCAAGACATCGTCATGTGTCCTCTTCAAATTGATTAAATAAATTTACTCTTTTACGTTTCTCTTGACTCTTATATTTGCATTTCAAAGTTCCTCCACACTTATGGTCTTTTTAGTAGAAATGCTTGAAAGATTTCTATCAATTTGAGGTACCTTACTCTCTCTCCCTATCCTCCCAAGATTATATAATGTTTTGCAGGTAAGTTATTCTATTTTTTCCTTTTTTTTCCCTTACATTTTAATACAGGTGGAACATTGAATGATTCTTTCACTTCAGCTCCTTCACAGCCAAACCAGGAGGCAGGGACTGTTTAACTTTCTCTGCCTTCTATTTGTCTGTGATGACCAGTGTGTACAGGTACCTGCTGCAGTGAACCTTAAACTTCACATTGTCCTTGTTTTTCATGATCTTGACAGATTTGGCATCTTTTCACCTGGCTATCAGCAGGAAATCTTTTATTTCCTCAATATTTTGGGGGCATGGCGGCGACGGCGATGGCAGGATGAGGAGCAGCGTGTGGCCTGACAGGTCGCGCAGCTGCCAAGGAAGACGGAAAAGCATAAGTTATTCTTAGAGTAAGCTATTATTATTATTATTATTATTTGTCTTTTAGAATGTTGTACACCAAGATCTCCTCTAGTTTTTGTTGAAAGCTTCCAGGTCTTGTGTAGTCTTGATTGTACTTATATTGTATTCTTACATTATTTTTTTCCTTTGATGTGAGATATTTGGATTTTGGTTATGATATTTCTGGGACTTTTCATTTTGGGGTTTCTTTCAGGAGTGATCAGTGGATTCTTCCTATTTTCACATTGCCCTTTGGTTCTAATAAATTTGGGCAGTTTTCACTTATAATTTCTTGAAATATAGTATACAGATTTTTAAAAGTCATGGTTTTCAGGTAGTTTATTGATTCTTAAATTACCTCCTTGACTTATTTTTCAAATCAGTTGTGTTTTGACACCAAAATATCTTACATTTTCTTTTAATTTTTTTTATTGTGTTCTAATATTTCTGGAACCTTATGGAGCCATTGACTTCCATTTTGTCTATTCTAATTTTCTAGGACTCCATTCTTTGGGTAAGATTTATCACTTTTTCCTCTAATATGCTTATTCCCTTTCAAATTCTTTCTTCTATTGCTTTCATTTAACTTTGTTTGCTTCATGTCTTCTAGGTAGTGAAAGTGCATTTCTTCCTTTGAGTTTCTGCTTATAGTTGTTACATCGTAACTTTTTCAAAAGAAGGGCATCCCCTAAAATGGGGGGTCTCAAATTTGTAATAATTTTTAGTACTGATAAATGTCTTCCTTGGAATATTTGTATCTCCAGTTTTAGTTCCTGAATTGGGGCTTTTTTGCCAAGGCCCGGTTCCATTCCCTTGCTTGGGTAAGTGGTTGATTATGTTGATCTCACCCTAGAATTCCTGCAATGGGGTCACACAATGCCCTCCTCATTGGATTAAGCCCTCTTGATCTTTGAGGTGAAGAGTACTCAATCTTCAGGACTTTCTATAGCATCTCATGACAAGGTGGTAGGGAGCACAGGGGTGTTCTATTATGCTATTGTGCCCTCACGAGATGCTGTTGCTCCTTAGAACTTCCAAGGGACCAATTTTGTGTTTATAATCACCCAGGGGATTTCTCAGGGAGCCCTCCTGTCTCATTGCCCTTTGATAAGAGACCTGCAGGCCCTTTTCTGGTCTCTTTGGGAGTATAAGGGCTTTTTAATAATAATAATAACAACAAAACAACTTTCGGTTGTGTTCTCTTTTCCTATTGCTGGAAGCTTCAGGTTGACATTCTGGGCAGCAATCGGATGGAAAAAACTACTTACTGTATCTCATAGTTTCTCATTGGATTTCTTGATCATGATTTGGTCTATTGCAAATTTTAAGTTTTTGCCAGAGTGGGTATAAGGTAGCTGAGCAGCCTGCATCTGTTCAGGAAGCCATTTTGACCAAAAAACTACAGGTATATTGTCACATAGGCCTATATACACATACACATGTCATAATAGAGAGGGTACTACACTTGGAGTTAGGAAGACCTAGGCTCAAATCCTACCTTGGATGTGTATTAGCTATGTGACCCTAGGCAAATCACTTAATATATTCCTTAATTTCTTCATCTGTAAAATGAGATGATTAGACTTGATAGCCTCCAAGACCCCTTCTAACTCTAAATCTGAGATTTTGTGATCCTATAATCCTAAAATACACACACACACACACACACACACACACACACACACACACACACTTCAAGGAATTCAAGCTCCCAGTCCTCAGGTTTTGATAAGACATATGCCAAGATATCAAAATAACTTAAAGATGTGATTACAGAGCTTCTGTTACTATTCTTTGAAAAGTCACAGAGAACAGAAGTGTTGCAAGATTTTCAAAGAGAGGAAGGCTGTAGATTGTTCAAGCAATAGATCATTGAGCTTGACTTCATTTTCTGACAAAATTCCAAAATGCGTTTATTAAGCTGATTAGTTAGAAAGGGAAGTGGTGATCATTAAACACTACTGACTGTAACCTAACTATATCACCTTGGGTAAGGAATTTCACTTCTACCTGCCTCAGTTTCCTTAACTGTAAAATGAGAATAATAATAGCACCTACCTTCCAGGGTCATTGGGAGGATCAAATCAGATAATATTTGTAAAGCTTCTAGTGCAGTGCCTAGAACATAGTAAGGTGTGCTAGACAAAAATCACTTATATTTTTGGTCAAGTAGATTAGGGGAATGTCAACAATACCTGGATTTCAGTAAGTCATTTTTATAAAGTTGTTGATGCAGAGATATGGTTTCCGTGATACTAGAATCAAGTCAGCTGATAAATAAAAGGACCTAAAGAGTAGAGATTAATAATAGATCAATGTTAAACTAGAGAGAACTGTGTGAAGGCCTCTATGGTGCTGTCCTTGGTACTTGGGTACTCAACATTTTGTATCAGTGATGTAGATGTAGTTATAGATATTGATCAGATTTGGATATGCCTGGGCATGTTGCTGTATACCTGTAATCACATTTGCTGGAGAGGCTGAGGCTGGTGGTCCTCTTGAGCTTGGTAGTTCTGAACTGCACTGAGCTATGATGATTGTGTGTCCACACTACATTTAGCATCAACACGATGAGCACCTGGGAGTGGGGGACCCTTAGATTGCCTAAGGAGGAATAAACCAATCCAGGGTGGAATTGGAGCAGATCAAAGTTTTTGTGCCAGTCAGTAGTGGGATAAAACCCATCCAGCCTGGATGAGATGGGGAGATCTAAGCTTTAAAAAAGATGC